TAAATATACAAATTATTATTATTATAATTAAGAAGGCGTCAATGAAATGCTTGAGGGGGGAAACTTTGTCGACCGAGCAGTGGACTCGCGACTGGACGAAAATGGCACGGTTAATGTCATTTATAATGAAGGCGTTTGAAAGCGTCCCACCTAAACTTCTCAACTATTAATCATCTGAAATTGCATAAAAGAAAACCTGTTGATATGGAAAACCGATTATTTTAAATGGCGATGGCAAACCTTGAGCATCAGTGCCTCAAAGTCAACCCCTTCCCTCTTCTAGGCTCAGTCGTAGGGACGTTGCACTTCCTTGTCTATATCAACGACTGTATTGATGACTGGGTTGCAGTGCCACCATGTTTGCAATCGATATTAAAATTATGGAGATTCATCATGCCCGAGGCGATTAGGCAAGCATTTCAATGTTATCTTAACAGACTTAGCAGCTGGTCGGCCGGTCTGCTCTTACATTTTAATGTTAGTACGTATGCGGTTTTAAGGCTCCGTACTAGAAGGAACAGCAAGAAGGATAATTCCTTCGAATAAAGTTTCGATGGACAGCTCCTTTCAAATGATGAAGAAAAGAAAGAGCTTGCTGTTCTAATAACCTCCTCGCTTAAACCATCTTTAAATTTTGTAAAGACAGCTGAACTGGCGATACAGGTGTTAAGTGAGCTAATACGAAAATTTGTGTACATATATAAGGAATATTTAAGGAAAATTTACGAGCATTCCTTCGGTAATCCTTGAAGTATGCCGTCTAGAGCTGGCGTCGATGGTTTAAGAAAGAATATATGCAGCTGGAACGACTACATACAAGAGCTATGAAGATGCTGAAGAAACTTAGTCATCTGCCTTACGAAATCAGACTGGATGAACTAGATTTGTTTCCTCTCAATTACAGGTAATTATGCGGTTACCTCATTTGAACATACCGAACTGTCAGAGGCCGCGAGTGCGCCCCAGCATTTGATGATTTTGTTCGAATTGGCTCGGAAACAAAATAAGATCTAGCACGCTACCTTACAAGACATTGCTTACAACATGGTCCCCGTTTATTAGGAGAATTCCATTGATATCTTTCTTTTTAGACCAGTTAGGTCTGACATAACGTAGTAAAGCAGAGGACTATGAAGTCTTACAGCTTCCGGTATATCTGTGGGTCGCATATGGGGCACTTTATTAAAGCCTTTACTAAGATCCTACACATGGGCCTTTCGTGTCTGCGGCATAGATTTTAGGCGTTGGTTTTTCAAACCCTTGATCGCATCCAAGTTATATATATTTTTGGGAACGAATATATAATAACCTTGGATGCCTTGTACTTCGTAGCCTATTATCGTCAGCCCTTTTTATGCTGCGTCACTGGATTGGCGTTTATTTGAGTCTTGTTTTGGAGTTTTTGGCTCCGACACGTCAACCTTGCAATGAACATCTTTAGGTTGTCGGGCGACTTTTGTCACTTTGTTGCTATAATAATATTACTTTTAAAAATATGGAAAACGAGGTCTTGTTCGGGTAATTTATTTTCTATATATTATTTCGGCAGGTCTTTCTGGGAAATCCCAGATAGCGTTTGCGGTCGTCTTTTGCACCCGCTATTTGGACTTATTCACAACTTTCGTCTCTGTCTATAACAGTTTGGCGAAAATTGTGTTTATTGTCTCCTCTATCACCACTCTGTATTTGATTTATGTCAAGTTCAAGGCGACTTATGACAGCAATCACGACACTTTTCGCGTCGAATTTTTAATTACAGCTTGCGCAGTACTAGCTCTTCTTGTTAACCAGGAGTTCACCTTTATAGAGGTAGTTTTTTTCCAAGCCGTTTACTTTATCTTTAGATTCTTTGGACGTTCTCTATATACTTGGAGTCCGTAGCCATATTGCCGCAACTTTTCCTAATATCTAAAACGGGGGAAGCTGAAACAATAACTTCCCATTACTTATTCGCCCTCGGCTCATATAGAGCGCTATATATACTTAATTGGATCTACCGCTACCTTGTGGAATCATTTTTTGATCCAATATCTGTGGTCGCAGGCATCATCCAGACTCTGCTCTACCTGGACTTTTTCTACCTTTACATTACCCGAGGTAACATTCTCCTTATTGTCTAACATACCTTTTAGTCCTGAAGGGTAGAAGTCTCAGTCTTCCGGCCTAATCTTCAACTGTGTGACTCCAATGCCCTTGGATACGGATTGAAATTTCGATTCGTTTGTAAAAATTATTTCAAATCCTACTTTTTGCCCGAGTCGGCTTACTAGTGTTTTATCTGGGCGCATGCATGTACTGTATCGAATTTTTTAAATGTGCTGATCAGCACCTATCAATCCGAACAGTAAGAATGAAGGTTCATTGGAGACGACTTCTCTCTCTCTACCCCTTTTCCGCCATTTAAATTTAAGTTCCCAGAGCTCCATTAGTAAGTGGCGCTAAAAAGATCCTACCATCTTATTTGAATTTGTTCCTTCTCGTCCCTTCAGCATCATGATATAGATTGGGGAATAGTCGCTGGTTTGCCAACCTCCTTTAAGCAAATTTTTGAGCTTATGTTCTTCCACATTGCTACCTATGCGATCTGACCGTTATGGCGCGCCTGCTATTTCTGATCTTTCCCCTTGTGTGGCCTACGTATGCCATGGCTTGACGTTTTCACTTACACGAGTCAGTAAGATACAGATTAGTAAAACTAACACAACCCCGAAAACAACGCGATTTACGTCATTTGCTGCATTACTATTTCGACTT